TGGGGGGATGGGGGGGGGGGGGAGAGGAGGCAGAGGAAAGGGGTACGGGGGAGGGGCCGAAGCTGAAATCCCAGGAGAACCCGGGCTCTGCATGAACCTTTGGCTCTGAGCACCACAGGGAGGGCCCCACATGTGACAGACCTGACTGGGACCCACCCGGGGTCCTGTCCCTCACTGGGTTGTGGTAGGGTGGGGTTCATGAAACTCTGAACCCCCAGCTGCTCCTCTCCCGAGCCACGGTACCTGCAGGCCTGGTCCTAAAGGCCAGGGCCCGGCTCCAGGGGCTCCACGCGGTGTGCAGGCCTCGCTGGGCCCGCGTCCGCACCTGCAGCTCATACTGGGTATCAGGCACCAGGTTCTCCAGGAAGATCCAGAGCTGCCTCTGCTTCAGACTCAACAGGTTGGCCTCCTGGGACAGGGACAGGGTAGTCACACCTAGAGGTCCCCCTGCCCACCACCTCCCATACAGCCTCTCCTCTCCCACACTCCTTCCCTGACCTCCCCACTGCTGGACTGGCCCCAGCCCCATCCCAGCCCCTTCCCAGCCCCGCCCCCTTGCTGAGCCCCACAGCTAAGCAGAGCCCTCTGCAGGTTGACCAGCTGTCTGGCCCTGGGTCCGCTCCCGCAGGGGTCTCCACTTCATTGGGCACCAGGAAGAGGATTCTCCCACGGCCCAGTGGCTCCTTCTCTCTTCTGCCCACAGCTAAGCCACTGCTCCAGCCACTGTATCCTGTATCCTGTGGAGCTATCTTCACTGTACCTGGCACAGCCCTGCTTCCCTGTCTATGGGTCCTTCCTTCCCCATGCCCACGTAAGGCCCTCCTTGCCAGCATCACTTTCTACTTCCTCCTCCTGCCCAGCACATAGTAGGTGCTCAATGAGTAGGTGTGCATGGGTGACCAGCGAATGGAGGAATAATCAAGTGAACGAAGAGGCCACCTTTCACCAGGAACCCATGGGGGGCTAGGTTGGAAGTGTGGACAGGTGGAGGCCACTGCTGCCTCTTGTCTTTGGGAGTCTGGCCCTGGGCTCAGCCTGGAATTGGCCATCAGCTGGGTCCCCAGGCTGTGAGGGTAGCACCAGGCAGGACAGCAAGAGAGGCCAGGGTGGCTCCGCCACCCACTGCCTGGTCGCAGGCACCTTGCTGAGATGTGGCCATGCACCAAGTAGGAACAGGGACGGGCCGAGCCATGCCTCACCTCCCAGCTGTGGCCTGGCAGCCGTGTCCGGGCCTCAAACTCCAAGCAGGAGTCAATGTAGTGGGAGATCTGGGTGAGGCGCCAGGTGACGTTGCATCTGTTGGTGTCCATGTAAGTGACCTGGAGGGAGCTGGGGGCCACTGGGCGAACTGCAGTCGGGAGAGAGGAGGGGACAGCGAGCTGAGTGCTCCCTTGGTACCCACTGTCCCCTGTCCCCGGGTCCTCGGGCCCTCCACCGTTTGGAGAAGCCTGCCCTGGTCCCCAAACCCACCCCTGGGGCCCGCTTTAGTTTTCTCTCCATATCTAGTTCTGGCTCTGCCTGCCCTGCCCTCCTGGGAGCTCTGGGAGGACAGGGACTGTGCTACCGTGACCTAAGACTCTAATTGAAAGACTCACACACAGGGATAAGTGAAAGTTTACTTGTCGAGCAGTTTCTTTTGTCTTGGCTCAAAGACCCCTTAATGGCCCCGGGATCCTGGTTATTTTGCAGGTGAGAAAACCAAGGCTCAGACAGATCACACGGGATCAGGGCATCGATCTCATCTTTTACCGCACCTCTTTCCCAGCCATGGCCCCCAAGGTCAAGGGGAATGGGAAGATAGACATTCAACAACCTTCCCCAAGCAGGCCCAGTGCTGGGTGTTCAGAAAGGAGGCACGGGGCAGCGGAGACTCTGCACTGAGAGAGCTCACAGCCCAGGAAGGAGACAGAGCTAATGTCAGGCACACACACTCTGCAAGAGGAGGTATGAGCAGCTGGGGGAGCCTGGGAAGGCCTTCTGGGGAAGAGGACTGTTCTCAGTGCCCAGAAGGATAAGCAGGAATCTCCCCAGTGGAAGGACCTTCCGGGAGTGGGACCAGACATGCAGAGGCACAGATGACAGGAGTGGCCTTAGTTTGAGGGCAGGGAGGATGCAGGAGGCCAAGACAGGAAGGAGGAGCCGCTCGGTTCATCACTCACGGTAGTCAAAGGGCTTGAAGTTCTTGGTCAGCACCGTTCGCCACTGTCCGCCTTTCCAGCACATGACACGCGCGGTAATGATATCCGCCGAGGTCAGCACCTGAGACTGCAAGGAGAGGGGCCCGGATGGAGCTGCCAGCAGCAGGGCTCAGAATGGGGGCACAAGGTTGTGGGGACACAAGCAGGAGAGGAGCAGGGACAGCAACATTTTCCATAACAGGCCAACGTTTTGGGTTTGAAGCCAAGCCACATAGTATCTATCACTAACTACTCAACTCAGCCATTGTAACGTGCAGCAGCCACAGGTGGCATGTGGATGAATGGCAGAGCCGCATTTCAATAAAACTTTATTTACAAACATAGCCAGCGGGCCAGATTTGCCTCATAGACTGTGATAGTTTACTGACCCCTGATTTAACCTGAGAAGGAGGGAGCTCCCCATCACAAGAAATGTGCAAGCGGTGAGCCTCGAGATAGCTCCTAAACAAGGTGGAACTTGTACCTGTTTAATGGCTTCAAATGCAAATGGATCCTCTCCCCAGTCTCTCCCTACCCTCAATTTTTCCGGTGGGAAACTGCCAGGTATCCAGTACCTCCTGGATAGCTGCTGCTCAGACAACTGAGCTACTTACAAGGCATGATTTTTTTTTTTTAATACGATGTGTGTTTAGAAAATTACTACAGCGAGGCACACGTCTGTAATCCCAGCACTCGGGAGGCTGAGGCAGGAGGATCGCTGTGAGTTTGACACCAGCCTGGGCTACATAGTGAGTTCCAGGTCAGACTCAACTACATAGTGAGACCCTGTCTCAAAAAAACAAACAAAAAAATACAGTGAAAAAATACACTGTCATCAATTTCCTTCAAAATACTGCCCTTGAACACAGTCGTCCTAGTGTTGTTACCACTTTCCGAAGCGGCTCTGGAAGTCTTTCCTGGGTGTCGTTAGTTGCACTGCCCTGGCTGCCTTGATATACTGAACCAAAACAAAACTTTGACCTCTCATGGTCATCTTGATTTTAAGGAAGAGCTGCCAGATTTGGTGAACTTGGTACACGAGGACACACCGTCACGTTTTTACTTGACAGAAATTGCTATTAACATTTCGAATCAATTCAGGACACAGAGGGACCCATGGAAAGACACTCATGACCGAGGGCCTCCCTCCAGAACTGCTTCAGACAGGCACAAGAATGATGGGGCAAGTACGCTCGAAGGGAGAGGGAGCCTTCTGAGGGAGATTCCCATCAGCGTGTCTTTCACTGTAGCAAGTTTTTAAATGAAAACGTGAACCACATTTTTTGACCTCCTCTTGTCCCTTGCAGCTATCACCAGGGTACCGCACAAGGTGGTGAGGAGGCTGAGGCCCTCGAGGGACTCTGCCCCAGACTGCTCGGCTGGTCAGCAGGGCGCCCAGGCCACACATAGGCCCTCTGCGTCCTCAGCCCACAGAGTGACCACAGCCGTCTTCGCCGCCCAGCAGACCCCACGGTGCGGCCCCAGGAGGAAGCTCTGGGTCCCTGCTCAGCCCAGCTTGGGGTGGTGGTTTTGGGTCCAAGCCTCCAGATCCAGTCTGCTGACCTCTCTGAGCAAATGGTGGCCCTGATCATCAGCGCCCCATCAGCCGGTCAGTCCTGCACCCTAGGACCCCACCCTGACCTTCTTATAGCAGTTATGGGGACCAGGCTTCCCCAGGTAATAATAGCATAACCACTGTCACAAACACGGTGCCAGAAATGCACTCCCTCCCTCAAGCACTTGCTCTGCGCAGGGCACTTGCCTAAGCTCTTCAGATTATCCCATTCGGTTCCCTCAGTGCCCTCTGAGGTAAGCACTATTGCTGCTCCCATCCTGCCCATGAGACTGAAGCACAGAGAGCCTTCAGGACTTGCCTGAGGCCACACAGCTAGGAGTTGGTGGAGCCAGGCCACCTGCTGAGCTCTGAGTAGAGGGGGGACATAGCATCTGGTTCCCACCGCTCCTTGTCACCCCAGCCACCCTCCCTAATTCATAACACCTGACAGCAGCCAGAAAATGTATTCTGGGCATCCCCAGTGCCTACCGGTGCCCACCAGTGCCCAGGAGGGAGCGCAGGACAGGGCAGCAGGACAGCATCCTCACACCCTCACCCTGGGCCCCACTTCCAAGCCACTGGCTCCTCCCCTGGGACCCCCCACCCTAGGGCCACAGCCTGGAGCAGAAGGGAAGCCTGCCCCCAACTTTGCCCTAGCGCAGAGACTCACAGTCGGGGGTCCGAGGACCAGATTACAGGCGCAGGACGTCTGGCTCACTGGGAACATCTTGCAGGTGTTGTTCCAGGACCTGTCAGAGTTAAACGGTCTTCTTAGAAAGAAGGCGGGGGGGCTCTTCGGCCCCTCCCCCGGGACGTCAGCACACACAAGGCCCTGTTTCCACAACTGTCTGAGGGCTCTCTCAAAAATCCCACATTACTCAAAAATTACCCGTCATGCCACTCCATCCCCACCTCTGAGGGGAGTCAGGGTGGCATAGCAGGTTCACAGCCCCAAGTCCCCAGACGACCTTCCCCAGCTCTTAGCAATTCTCTTAGCCAATGCCTGGTCCCAACTCCCCCAGCTCGGAGAATATGGGAGTCCTGGAAACCCACAGTTGGTGAGCACAGACGCCACAGAGTCTGATATTATGATCTGGTGGCCCTGAGACCACACAGCCCCAAAGTCCTGTGGTTCTCAGGGCTACACTCACCGGCTGTCTGACTTGGCGAGGATGTAGCAGGAGGTGTTCTGCATACCCTGCTCCTGGTGCCACAGGCAGGAGATGTTGGCTCGGGAGTTGTAGAAGCACTCAAGCGGGGAAGTGTCTGTGGGCAGGACGGGCATGAGAGGCTGGCCTCTGGGCGCCTGTGGCCTCCAGGCAAAAACACCACCCTGCTCTTGGTGCCCTGCGCCACACACTCGCCCCCACCCCTGCCTCCTGCGTCTGCCATTCCTGGACCTTCTGCCAAGAAGCAGGGGTCTGGAGGGGCACCAGCAGGCCCAGCCCCTCTGCTAGGGAAACCACAGCTGCCCGAAGCCAGGGTCCTCACCGGTCACCTCTGCAGACACTGGGGGGGTCGTCAGGAGCTGGAGGAGGGAGAGGAGGACCAGGCACCAGGGCAGAGCTGGGGCCGCCATCACAGGCACAGACTGAAGCTGGTGGAAGAAGGCCTGGAGGAGGAGAGAGCAGGGTGAGCGGCTGCCTTGGCCCCACCGAGCCCCACCCCGCCTCTCTGCCCAGCCCAGGGCCAGCGCTTGCGGGTCGCTCTGCCCACACTTGCTGCTGTCTTTCCTGCACTCCTCTGCTCAGTGTCCCGTGAGACGGGACGGAGAGGTGACACTGGGACCCGGCGCTGCCCCGTGTCAGGGCGACTTGGCGCAAGCGCTGTGCTCGCTCGCAGTCAGTTTGATAACCCGGAGGGCCGCTGAGTGGCCACAGGGCAGGCAGCGCGCACGCCCAGACGATGATTGGGGACCCACAGGATGGCACAAGGCAGCGTGAGGTGGATGGAGCTGCTCAGACTGGCGCAGAATTCAAAACACATGAACTGTTTGTTTCTGGAATTTTCCACTGAATATTTTGTGACCATAGTTGATCCCAGGCGACTGAAACCAGGGAAATTGAAGCAGCAAATAGGAGGAAACCTTCATTGTATTTATTCGTTTTCTCGCTTTACACACACACACACACACACACAGATGCACATGGGGATCATGAAAACCTCAGGAGGACAGAGATCTGGGTGCCCAGTCCTAAACCAAGGCCTGGCACACAGGAGGCAGCTGCAAAGGGGAAAGCAGATTGTCAAAGGAACAAACACAGGAGCCACAACTGAGCGCCAGCCACTCCACGGGGGTCCAGAGCTTCCCCGCTGTCCCCTGCCGCTACCTTTTGCCCGTGTCAAAGGAGTTGACGAATCCAAGTGAAGGCAGCAAGAGAAGCTGCCGAGCCATCTGGGGGAGCCTTGGGACCAAGGTGACCCTGATGGGGGCTCCAGGAGCAGAAGAGGGCGTCTCTGAAGGTCTCTGTCCTTCCCAAGTCCCACTGTGTGAGGGGAAAGCACGGTCTGTGCATCTGGGCTCGGAGGACAGGTCTGGGCAGCTCCCTAGAATCCCTCCCCACATCAGCCCTGGCCTTGCAGCAGGAGCCTGTGATGGGGTCCCCTCCTTGGCAAGGGCCAAGCCGCCCAGCTGGGGGAAAGGAGGGGTCGAAGCCTCGCAGCACTTCAGACTGGAGGTTCTCAGGGAACACAGACCCCTCTTCTCCACAAACAGGGTGCGTGTAATGCAGCACCTAAAATCCAGCTCGATAAGCGCTGAAAGTGCATTAGGCAAAGAGAGACACCGAGCTGTTTAGCTCTGCAAAAGTAAACGACAACATCATGATCATACGCCTGGCTCCTCGCAGATGCAGTTTAAATGCAGCGCCTCTGCAGATTCATTCAACCCACACCACGCATTAGGGGGGTGGCACTTCTGTCCTGCTCACTTTGCAGAGGGGGAAACTGAGGCTCAGAGGGGGATCTGTCCACACTTCTGCTCCCCGGCTTGCCTGAAAGCTCCTGCAGGTGGCTGGGGAACGCCCCAGACCCTCTCCGGGGAAGGAGAGCATAAGGCTCATGAGGTGCCCTTGCATATCCGGGAAACGCTGGCCAGCCAGTCTTTCCCCCACCCCTTCACATTAAGCTACATGCTCAGCCTATTAAAATTTTTTCTTTTGGAAACAGGGTCTCTAAGTCACTAAGTTGCCCAGTCTGGAGTCAAATTTGTGATCCTTCTACCTCAGCCTCCCAGAGTGCTGGGATTACAGGGGTGCACCACCACACCTGGTCCCAGCTGGTGCTTTTGTGAGCATCAGCCCAGGCAAGGACCCCCGTCCCTATCTTCCCAGATCTGCACACTGGAAGGTCTGCTGCCGCAGCCCCACTGCCAGAACCCAACAGCCACCTTCCCACCTCAGCGACCACGCTGTCCTACAACCTGGGTGGGGTGACCTGTCTCTCTCAGGGACAGTCCAGCCATGTGATGAGAACTCCACCCAGGGAAAGCTCAGGACATGACCTGTAGCCACAGAGACATCAGAGAGATGTGACTGTTGCCACGCATGCCCTGCAGGGTCCCAGTTGCAGGGAATGAGAAACATGAGCACAAGGTCACTGGGGAGATAAAGGGACATGAAGGAGACTGGGTTGGAGCAAGTAAAGGGGGCAGCAGGGAGAGGAGACAGGGGCTAAGGGCTGAGGTGCTGAGGACTGCCCCTCACCCCCCTATGTCCCTCATCCTCCCAGGCCCCCTTTGCTGGGTGATGACCTCTCCCCAGGGAGCCTTCTCTCCCTCCTCACCTCCCAGCCTCCTACTGGTTCCAGCCTCACCACCCCAGGGCCAGGGCCCAGCTCATGGAGCCCAGCCCACTCCTTCCCTTGACTTTCAGGTCTGTTGGCCCAGTGCTTTCCCAGTCCTTCTCCCCACACACAGCCTGGCAGGAAGCCCCACAGGCGGCGTAGCCCAGGGACAGCCCTCCGGCCTCATCCTCCCCACCCTCCCGGGCTTCACAGTGTCCTTCCAGCCCGGACCTCACAATGGCCTTTGGCTTCATTTCCCAAAGCTCCTCTCCAGCCAGCAGCCTCCCTGCCCAGAAACCAGCAATGCCCCGGCCACAACCACAGCCCAAATGCCTGCCCTTCAGCTTGGCCTTCATTGCAATAGGTGCCCATACATGCGCACGCACACACACACACACACACACACACACACACACACACACATATATGCATTACATCTCCCTGCCTGCACAAGCCAGCAAGTCTGGACTAAGCCTCTAAATGAGCTTCCTGGGTGGGTCACTCTCCCACACGCCCTCTAGGTCCTGCTGTTCTTCAAGGGTATTTTATTTTTCTAAATTGTGTGTGTGTGTGTGTGTGTGTGTGTGTGTGTGTGTGTGTGTGTGTGTGTGTGGTGCCAGGAATCTAACTCAGGCCCTTGTGCTCCCAAGGCAGGCGGCAGAAGCACTGAGCCAAATCCCCTTCAAGGGCATTTTATTTTTAATTGAATTTCATTTTATCCCATTCCCTCCTCCATTCAAGCCCCCTCCTCTCCCCTATGTACAAAAGTTTTGTTTCCATTTTTCCAGTCTCACTTTTTTTCACATCCCTTCCTTTCTCTCTCCCTCCTCCCTTGTTTCCCTTCCCATTTGAACACTTTCTTCCCATTTCCCAATATTTATCATTCATTTCAGTCCTTATTTCCACTTTCACTTTCTCACACCAGAGAAACAATGTAGTATTTAAACATGTGTGTCTGATTTATTTCACTTCAGAGTATGGTCCCAAGGTCCATCCATTTAGCTGTAAATATCCGAAGCTCATCTTTCTTTATGGGAGAGTAGTACTCCATTGTAAAGAAAACCACATCTTCTTTATCCACTCATTAGTTGATAGACATTTGGGCTGTTTCCAACATTTAGCTATTACAAACTGCACCGCAATAAACATGGGTGTACATATATCACTGAGATAGGATGCTTTTAATTATTTCGGGAAGGCAGTAACAAGAGGGATAGCTGGGTCAAATGGAACCTCTAGTTTTAGTTCTCTGAGAAATCTCTCTGAGAAATCCCTAGTTTTAGTTCACTGATTTCAACAGAGGTTGTACCAGTCTACACTCCCACCAACAGTGGAGAAGGGTTTCTTTTTCCCCACAGCCCCTCCAGCATTTGTTGTTGGTTGATATCTTGATAGCAGCCATTCTTTCTAGGATGAGGGAGAATCTCTGTGTTGTTTTCGTTTGCATCTCTCCAGTGACCAGTGATGTTGAACATTTTTTCATATATTTATTTGCTGTTTCTAATTCCTCATCAGAGATGTGTCTTCTCATTTCAGATGCTCATTTTTGGATTGTGCCTTTAAATTTAGAGCGTCTGATGTTTTTGCATTCTTTATATATTCTATTTTTTGTTTGTTTGTTTTTTGAGACAGGGTCTCACTATGTAGTTGAGACCGACCTGGAACTCACTATGTAGCCCAGGCTGGTCTCGAACTCACAGCAATCCTCCTGCCTCAGCCTCCCGAGTGCTGAGATTACAGGCGTGCACCATCATGTCTGGCTAAGTTCTTTATATATTCTAGGTAATAGTCCTTTATCTGATGAATAGCTGGTAAAATTTTTTTTTTCACCTTGCATGTTGCTTCTTCGCTCTGTTGATGGTTTCTTTTTCTGCGCAAAAGCTTTTTAATAAGATGAGGTCCCAATTGCTGATTCTTTGTAGTATTTCCCATGTGGTCTGGATTTTGTTCATGAAGTCCTTGCCTGCTTCTATGTTCTACCTGTTCTTTCTTCCCGAGGATTTAGTGTTTCCATTTTAATATTTTGATCTTTGATCAATTTCAATTTTAGATCAGTGCATGGTGAAATATATGGGTCTAGTTTTAATCTTTAGTGTGTGGAAAGCCATTTTTTCCAGCACTATTTATTAAAGAGACTGTCTTTCTTTCAGTGAAGGTGTTTGGCTCCTTTGTCAGAGATTAGGTGACTGAGTTTGTCTGGGGTTGCTTCTACATCTTCTAGTCTGTTCCATTGATGTTCAGGTCTGTTCTTTTGCCAGTACCATGCTGTTTTTATCACACAGCTTTGTAGTATAATTTAAAGTCAGGAATTGTGATATCTCCTGCCTTATCTTTGTTGCCTAGAAATTCCTTTGCTATTCTAGGTTCCAAATGAATTTTAGGATTATTTTTTCTAATTCTCAAGGTAGGCTATTAGAATTTTGATTGGGATTGTATTAAATGTGTATAAAAATTTTGGCAGTATGGCCATTTTCACTATATTGGTTCTTCTTATCCAAGAACAAAGGATGCCTTTCCATTTTATGATATCTTCTTTGATCTCCTTTTTCAGAGTACTGTAACTTTCAATGTAGAAGTCTTTTACTTAGTTCATTAGATTGATTCCTAGGGTTTTTGTTTTTTTTTTGGATGCTATTGTGAAAAGAATGGTTTCTCTCATTTCTCTCTCAGTGAGTTTGTTATTCGTAGACAGGAAGGCTATTGGTTTTTTAGTATTGACTTTGTATCCAGCCATGCCACTGATTTTAGTTATCAAACTTAGAAGTCTTGGCAGAGTTTACTTGTATGTAGAGTATCATGTCATCTGCAAATAAGGATGATTTAACTTCTTCCTTTCCTATTCTTATTCTTATGGGTGGGTGGGTGGATGGATGGGTGGTGGATGAATGTGGTCAGAGGTCTCCAGTACTGCAGACAGGGCAGTACTTTGCCACTGCAGTGGCTGCACCCCACTGCCCCATTCACCACTCCAAAATCATCCTGCAAGTGCTTACTGTGCACCTACTCTAGACTCTCCACGAAGCTGAAACAAGGAAAGTGAGGTACAGCGGTGAAGCACTCTGCCCAAGGTCACATGGCTAATAAAAGGCAGAGTCCAATGGAAAGCCCAGACAGGAGCTCTCCCCACTGCAGAAACCCCCTCCACTGTGACACAGGGAGCTGTGACAATGTCACCTTGGGTGCCAAGGCCAGTCCTGTGCCAGGCCCTGGACAAGTGCATCACAAAGTGATTCTCACTAGTATATCAGCTCCACAGCACAAACAGGAGAGTGGGCTCCAGGTCATTAACCTGCCCAGGGTCACACACACTGAGTGGCATCACAGCCAGGGCTCCTCCCCAAGGCCTCCACTCCTGGGGTCCCACTTATCCTGTCCTCTCCCAGACACTGGCCCCAGGTTCAAAGCAACCAGCCCTCTGCCCAGCCACCTGTACCCACAAAAGGATAAGTTTTCTTGAGCAGAGGCCATTTGGCTCTGTCTTTGGATCCCCAATACAGTACCAGGTTGGGACCCCAAAGAGTATGGAGTCTAAAAAACATGCCACTTCCTACAAGCCCCTCACAGGGACAATCTTACCAGCTTTGTTCTGAGGCTGGGCACTGCACATCCTTAGAAAAGGGTCACTCGGGTCAGGCACAGCCATAGGCTGACTTTGGGCTTAGAGGGACCTGGGACTTAACCCAGGGGAGCAGAGGGTGGAGAGGGGGCAAGATCACAGGAAGGTCAGGGTCAAACCACAGGCCCCAGCAAAGAGGAGCATAGCAGGCAGACACCATGGTGGAGTCTGTCCCTGCCACCCCACCAGAGGGATTCAGAGATTGCGTACCCAGAGGACAAAAGCAAGTTGAGGGGAGGGCACAGGTATCACAAGGGTCCGACTAAGAGGCTCCTGGCAGCCACGGAGGCTGCATCCTCATTCTCAGGGAGGCTCGGAAACCTGTCCAAAGTCACTATAGGAGATGCCAGCCTCAGGTGACAGCAAGTAGAGACCGGAACCTCTGAGCCTGCAGCACTCGGCCCCCAGTGTCGCCTCCACACATGCGCACCAGCCGGTGTGGCACAACCACAAGCCCACTCACAGCCACTGACTCATTGCGTCCCCAGCATAGGCTTCGAGGTGGGGCTTGTCACCCCCTTGTCGTTAGCGTCAGAGCTGGAGCTCAGAGCTGCTCAGACACTGTCATCTGATTTCCAGCAAGCTGCCGACAACGGTCGGGAAGACAAGCAGTGCCCGGATGACTGGCACCTGCTCTCTTCTCTGGCAGGGCCCAGACCCGGCACTCGGGAGATGTCACAGCATGTAATCCTCCCAGTACCCCCGGGAGCTGGTTATCGTGCTACTCCTCTGTCCAGATGAGGAGACTGAGGCATGGGTCAGCCTCTTGCCCAGGGGTAGCCTGAAGCCCCACTGGCCTGTGGGGTGCATGGTGGGCTGGGCCAGGATGGTAAAGCAGGAGCTCAGTAACTGGGGTTATGCCTCATCTGTCTCATCTGCCTCTGACTTGGAGAACCATCCCCATTTGTCATCTCTGACCAGCCCTCCACACATACACACACACACACACAGAGCATGGCCTCTTGCTGCTGAACTCCAGCCATATCTCTCAGCAGTGTGGGATCCTGGCTATGGGAGGCACAGTGGGGACCCTGGGGACAAGGCTAGCCCTCCCCCACCCATGCCACTCCAAGGTGCTACAAATATAGCTCAAGGTGAGGGCTCAGGCTCTCAGCCCTCAGACCTGCTACTGCCCTGGTCACAGAGCCAAGCAAGGGACTAATCCCAGCCGGAGCCTGGGGCAGCAGAGAGAGGCCTCCCAGCACCCAACTTCACGGCCTGGCTGCAGGGGGACCGCTCTCTCCTCCCTCACCCACAAGCCTCCTGGGGAGCACTGTGCACAGGGTGCCCCCCTCGGCCCCTCTCCATGGAAATCGGAAGGGGGCCCATCTCACTCACCCTACCTCCTGAGCCCTCTCACACCCATCCAGCCTCCGGGCTCCTTCTCCAAGCCTGCTTTGTGGGTACTGCGCACAGGGCCCACTGCAGAGCAGTTCCCAGAGTCCCCCAGGGTGGGCTGGGAAGGAGGGTGGCCCCATCCCATGCCCCTCGGGGATTCTAGGAAGAGGTTGGGAATCAGACCTCAGGCAGAACCCCTGAGGGGACCGAGTCGGAGCAGAGGTCTTCCCTTAACCATTATCCCCAGAGGGCCGGGCAGGTCAGGGCAGGGCGGGGACCTCACCTGGCTGAGACATGAGGCTGTGGCAGTGTGCTCCCTGGGGTCCTCCCTGCTGCTGGGGCCTCGGCCATCTCGGGCTCCGACAGCTCAGGTAGTGGAGAGACGACCGCGGGCCGGCCCACTTCCTGTGCAGAGCATGGAGGGGCCGGGGCCACTGGGAGGTGCAGAGTGGGGATGGTGAGAAAGCCCGAAACTCCTCGAGCACCTCGGCGATAAGATCTTCCTCCCACGTGGGGGCTGCCGCTCACTGGGCTGCGTTGCTGTGCACACCCTCACACACACCCTCACACACACACACACACACACACACACGCAGGGGCAGGCTGCATGTCAGAGCCCAGGGGGCTGACCCTCTGCCCCCCACCCCCGTCCCCATGTCACACAGGTCACCAACCTGCCTGACATCCGGTCACACAATCAACCAAAACCCCGCCAGGCCTCACACAAATACATCCCTCCAAGCGTCCCAAGTGTGCCCCACCTCAGCCCAGCCTATCGCACGGCCATCCTTCTAAAATGCCCCTGTTCAGTCAGTAAACCCCTTACTCAGTTTGCCGTTCGGAGGCCACTGCCAGTGAGGGCTCCGTGAGCAACTTGTGGCCGCTTATTGGTTGTTTCTGATCTCTTTCTCTTTCTCTAGGAAGATCTCTTTCTCTTTCTGTCAAGTCATGGTTCCTAATCCTTTTCCTGTGTTTTGTTTTGTGGTAGTGAGGACTGAGCTCGGGGCCATTGAACTGATCTACCTCTCCAGTCTTCTTTACATTTTATTTTGAGACAGGGTCCCACTAAGTCGTTAAATTGTCAAGGCTGGGCTTGAACTTGTGATCCTCCTGCCTCAGACTCCCAGAGTGCTGGGATCACCGATGTGTACCACTGTGCCTGTCTCTTTTCCTCTTTGGGGGATATAAGGAGGTTCAGCTCATGGCTTTTCTATTTTAATGTGAGTATTTATAGAATTCTCCTTAGAAAAAATCACATCTATTTCTTCTCAGCATCACAGGCCCACAGAGTGCTTCCGCCCCCAGCATTCCGCTCTCTCTCTCCAGACTTCAATAGCCCCCTGCAGGTTTTATGGAAAGCTTCTGCCTCCTCTCAGGGCTGGCAGGGCAGTTCCACAGAGCCTCCCATCTGCACAGATGTGAGCAAGTGAAACCTCAAAGAGAATCAAGCCCAGTTCCCTCCCAGGAACCCCAGGAGAGAACTGCGGAAGGAGACACATAGGGCAGCTCCCAGGAGCTGGGGGCCAGGTTGCTCAGCAGCTGGGTGACCTTGAGTGACCTTGGTCCCTCTGCGCTTCAACTGCCACACAAAATGAGCCCTGGCAATTCCTGCCTGGAACAGAAAGAGGACTGAACCTCAGTGTGAGCGACACACCTAACGTGGCCGCACCCCGGAGGTGCTCACACCTCAGTGTGAGCGACACACCTAACGTGGCCGCAGTCAAGGCCGGTGCCCCCCTACAAAAGCTTGCATGTTGGAAATGTCGTTCCCAAATGCACACACTGATAGTGTCTGGAGGTGGACTATTTGGGAGGCCATTAGGGCTCAGTGAGGTGGTGAGAGGGGCCTCCAATAGGAGAGACAGACCCGAGCGGGCACACTGGCTCTGTCTCGTCAGCCATGTGGCCCCCACTGTGTGATGTTGCAGCAGGAAGGTGTCACCAGGGTCCAGCACTGTGCTCTTGGACTCCCAGGATCCAGAACCATGATCAAAATAAACTTCTGTTCTCAGTCTGCCAGTCTGCAGTGTTCAGTTACCGTAACAGAAAAGACACTGTGGGCCGGGGATGTAGCTCAGTGGTTCTGCTGCCTCCCAAAACACAAGGTCCTGAGTTCAATCCCTGGTACAAAAAAAAAAAAAAAAAAAATAAAAAAAAAAAAAAAGAAAAAAGAAAGAAAGAAAGAAAGAAAGAAAGAAAGAAAGAAAGAAAGAAAGAAAGAAAGAAAGAAAGAAAGAAAGAAAGAAAAGGAAGCACTGAGACTCTCCTCTTCCCTCTGTTGGAAGGTTTTCCAGCTGCGGGAAAGGGTAATAAACACAACCACCACCACAGGAGCATAGAAGCCACCCTTTATTCAGCAGAGGAAATTTCTGAAAGCTTCTCTGGAAGCCAGGACCTCGGGCTACCCCAGGAAGGAGGCCAGGAGAAGGGTAGGAAGGGGCCTTTGCACTGGGGATCCTTTTGCACACTCAAATTTATTTCCTCTTTCCCAGATAAATGCATTCAATTAAAAGGCTTAGAAGCAACTGAAAAGAAAATGCACAACCCTGGACAATGCCAGAAGGTGCAGATTCAACTTGTGACATGCACAGCCTCGTCCAGGGGGTGAAACCAGCCAGTCCAGGACTCTTTCTCCTCCTCCATCCTGCTTTCATTCATTCAGCAAACACTTCCGGAGCATCCAAGATGCCCAAAGTCCAGGCCAGGCACAGGGGAGGTGGTTGAGCTCTGGGTCCCACCCTGGGTCATCAGGGTGGCCTTGCCCAACAAGGCTTCTGGAATAGCACGGGTGATGGAGGCGGAAGGGACAACCCCCTCAGCGTTCCCAACCCTGACCAAGGTTCCCGCTATGCCAAGGGCACCCCAGACAATGTCAGGTGGTAAGGAAAGGTAGGGCTGGGCCCAGCGGGAAGAGGGGCAACCTCCTTAAGACCTCTACAACTTCTTCAGGAAGCATTGGGGCTGTGGGACACATAAGAGGGAGCACCGAGAGAAGTGGGCACAGGTGCCTACCTCCTAGGTGTGGTCCTCCTGAGTGACACCGGACACCGTTTCCCAGCCTCCTTTGCAGAGAGGTGAGGCTGGGACCGAGCACAGGCTAGGACATGGAGGACAGTGGCTTGTTCTACTCTGAGCCCTGAAATTGCACCTTTAGCCCGCCTGCTTCTCTGTGCTTCTCTCCACCCCTCTCCAACTTCTCTATCCATCGCGCCCACCTCTCCCGTCTCCTGCCCCACTTTTTCCACTTCTCTTCCTCTGCCGCTCCACTCTCCTCCCCTACCAGAATCAACCGGGGGATCCCCCCCGAAACACAAGTCCTTCCCATTACCAGCAACCCACCCTGGACTGCAACGTGAGAGAGATCAGCTTCACCTGTGTTGGGCCTCTGGGGTGTGGGGCTGTTTGTCTGAGCTGTCAGCATCTGTACCCTGACTGCACAGCCAGCCCAGGTGTCTGCCTGGTCCTAAAGCCAGGTAAGGAAGAGAGAGACAAGAGCGGGGTGGGACCCAGTGGTCTGGGAGCTGCCTAGATGCAGGTGCAGGGAAATGTGCTGGCTCTCTCCAGCCGCTCTTGGTCGAAGCTGTGTGGTCTCCCGCCAGCCAGGACCCCTGGGGCCTCCTTCTGATCTCTGCTCCTGATCTTCCTGCCAGAACTGACTGCCACTGGCTGCTGTGCGCTCTCAGCCCCCACATGGGATGGAAATCAAACATGGGCTGGTTCTTGAGTCCACTGACAACTGTCAGCTTTGTCCACCCTCTTCTTCAGGGCCCTCCAGAGGGAGGCTCCCCCAAGTGCTTCCCGGATGGCACCAAGCAGCTGAGGGTTCCTGCTCAATTCAAACAGAAATCATCAGTTGGCTGCTGGTGGCTTTCAGTTTGAGGCCTTTGGTGTTAGCAGCTCTTCATGTACCAATTCAGCCTGCTTGACTCAAGATAGAAGTCATAAATGGGCAAAACTATGCTCCCCAGAAGAGGATTTTTAGGTGCATGGTGCAGCGTAAGGGGGAAGAGTACACAGACTGAACCTGCTAAGGGTACGGAACGCTTACTTCTAAAGGAGAAAGCTGGGCTTATGCAAGCACAAGGTCACCCTTTGTTTGGTCACTGCCAGGCAGGGTCCCTCACGGACCTGACTGAGGAGGGGCAGGACCATCCTGAGGGGCTGCACGGCACAGCCATCTGGGCTGGCTCCGTGGGCAAAGCTACTGCAGCCGAAGCAAGAATCTCCAGGAGCAGCTGTGGGGCGTCTGATACAGTTGGGTGGCTGAGTGGCATTTGGGGCAGAAATAAAAGAATATCGACTTCTGTCTCACAATCTTTCCAACCCCAAATTGTTGACACCTTCCCGCTCTTCACAGCACTTTTATCTTAACACACATTCTCACTCTTGACCTACAAGTCACAAGCAAGCTGGTCCCGTCCCCAGGTGTGAAAGTGTCTCCCCCACCGATGCTGCTCATCCTTCCTGCTGCTCACCAACTGTCTGCTCCTGCTGGCCCCTCTCATGGGCAGGACGCTGAGCCTCCCAGGCCACCCAGCCAGGATGCAGGGGGGCAGGCTGAACCCTGGGTCTCCTGGAGGATACTGGGGTCTCTCTGAGGTACCGTGACAAGGAATCCAGAAGCTCCCCTGACAGCAGGGGCCTGACAGAGCTCACCAGGCTTCCCGGGGCCCAGACCTCTCTCCACACAGCCACTGCTCCTGTACCCGCTGCACGCTCCCCAGTGTGTCCTTACAGGAACCCGTCATGAACAGACTGCCCCACAGCTCTCTCGCCTCTGCACAGGGCACCCCTCTGCACCCCGCTTTCACAGGGCCACTGGACGCATGCGTACTAGAATTTTCTGGCCTCGATGTTCCTTTTTTGTTGTTGTTTGAGACAGGGTCTCACTATGTAGTTCGGGCTGCCCTTGAACTCACTGTGTAGCCTAGGCTATCCTTGAACTTGTAGTGACCCTCCTGCTTCAGCCTCCTGAGTAGTGAGATCAGGCATGTGTCACCACACCTGGCTCAATGTCCCCTCCTGACTGACTTTTCCTTTGCAGCCTCCAATAGAGACCAAGCCAGCTGGGCCCTCCTCAGCTCTGCAGGTGCCTAACACTCCTGTCCCTGTCCCCTGAAGTCCTGGCTTTCAGTTCTTGGCATTCCTCTTAATTCTGACTTCTAGGAGACGTCAGGAGCCATGCTGTGGCCCCTGGTTCTTACTCCATCTCTTCCCTGGAGCCTCTGTCCCTCTGCATCTGTGCCCATGGCCCATACCTGCACTTTGTCGTCACAGACCAGGACCAAACCAGTTCCCACCCCTTTCCACCCTACAACAGTGTCCTAGTTAGGATTCATCCAGCTGCCTGTGTCAAAAGAGAACAGAAGACAAAAAACAGAGTCCTAAAATAAGAGAGGATTTTATTTCTCTCCATATAAGAGAAGTCCAGAGGCAGGCAGTCTGGGGCTGGCAGGGTGGCTTTCCAAGGTCAGGATCCTGAGAGAACTCTGTCTTGCTACTGGAATGTCCTCAGTATTTTCCTCCTGCCTCCTCAGACCCCAAGAGAGCTGTTCAGGGGCCACCCATCACATCCTCATTCCTGCAGCTGGAAAGTGAAGGAAGGAGTGAAGGACATGCCTCTGCCTATTAAGGACCTTTCCCTCAAATTGCTCTAGCTATTCCTAAGCATTCCATTGGCTATAACTGACTCATGTGGTCAACCTAGCTGCAAAGGAAGCTGGGAGAAGAGCATAGCTATAAATACAGCACATGGCAGGAGAACATTTGGGGGCATCATTACTGCCTCCACCACCACAAAGACCTCCACCAGCATTTCTCAGGCCACCCTCCTCCCCAGGGTCTCACTTGACTTGCTCGGCCCAGAAGGCATTCCTTATCTAGCTGGCACTGCCACCCACCTCAAGTCCAGGTGTCTACAACTTCTTCTCTGCTTCTCAAAAGCCTCCTGTAGTGGAGTCCTCAGCTGGAGAAAGTCCTTCCCCCATGGTGCCAGGCCTCGCTGGTGGCCCAGTTTGAGCCTTGGTCCCACACATAATTTGGTGTTTGACTCCCAGGCTAGTCCCTACAGGATTTCAAGGTGCCCCCTACAATTAAAAGAGACCATGAAGTAAGATGGGAACTTCAGGGGGCTAGAGCACAACAAGAAAGAGCAGTCTAGTGGCTGGCTCCTGGAAGTTCTGCTGACACCCAGCCACAGGAGGGGCACCCTACCTCCCAACCCCCAAACCACACACCACCAGCCCTCAGCTCCAGACCTGAAGACCCATGTTTTCCCATGATCCTCTGGGAGTTCCTGCCTCAGCAGCCCCTCAAGCACCAACCCCCACGGGCCAGACAGGTCTGATGCATGCCAAGTCCTTCCACAAAGACAGTCACTTCTGGTCCCTCACCAGTATCTCTCCAAGGAAACTGTCTGTTCCATTCCACCCAGGGCTAGGACACAGGATTTTTCAGGGCTAAAATCATGACCACACTGATCACCTTATTCCCAGCCACCTTGGCCCCAGACCAACTTCAGTCCTCCCCTGACGCCCCACCCAGGCCAGCTCAAAGTCACAGCCCCCACTGTGTCCTATGTCATAGTGACCTTGTTTGTGTGCAGCAGTGATGTGCCGACTTATCCCAGAACCCTGGAAAATAACTCGACATACAGGCAGGAAAAAAGGGAAAAGAGAAAGACTCTAAGGCTGACTCTCAGAGACCCTGAAGATTCTGGATGGAGTTGGGAAGCACATAACAACATCTCCATTACATATGCCACAGGGGTCCCATAAGATGACACTGCTTAGTGACCTCGCTGCCACCTGTGTCTATGCTATGACATCAGCACAATCACAACATTCCCAAATGATGAGCTTCTCAGAACATTTTAACACATGACTACAAAGCAAGTTAAAAACAGCACTGGGATTAATAATAAATTTGAAGTTTACCACGCGAGCAGGTTTAAAGGGTAAGCACCCACTGGTGGGTGCTTGAAGCGGTCCCAGGTCCCTGGAAGGCAATCTGACGATGCGTAGCAACATTCCCAGTGTGTGGCCCAGCAATTTCACACCTACCATCTGCCCGACAGAGGCAACCACCCCACGTGGGAAGTGTGGACGCGGTGACTGCAGCCAAGTGGCCGTCCTTGGGCTGGTGATGAATCCAACAGCCTCCACTCAGAGGAATTCAGTGCAGCCATGACAGACAGGAAGGGGTCCCAAGGTCCCCACCTGATGTGGCAAGGTGACAAGGTCAAAGTTCAAAACAATACATGTAGTGAATAATCCCTCTTCCTGCAAATGCAATTAGAGCTAAATCCTGAGTGAAAAGTATGTGGTCCTTTGTGGGGGACTCACAAAAACAAGGACTCCCCAAACGCCAGCCCTTCTACCACTCCTGATCATTGTATCGATGACACAGAGACCTGGAAGTGTCCCTAAGTCACCAGGGCCATGGGATCCCCTGGCCGCCCTCCTCCATGTGCTGACCTCCATGTCCCTCCCTAAGGAGGGAAACCATTTTGTCCCATTACAACGTTGTCATCAGCAAGGCCCACACTTGACCCGGGTCTCCTCACTGCTGGTCTTGAACCCTGTCCTGGGGACAGTCAGGAGGCACACAGACACGGACAGCCCCCAAGATGGTGGCCCTTTCCTGTGGGAAACAGGTAGCATGAGAAGGTTCTTGGTGCCTGTTCTGGTACTGGGCAGGTTTCCCCGAGATCTGCGATCTTTCTCAGAAGATAAGCTAGGTGGTGCTGCAGAAAGGGGACGTGTGATGTTTGCAAAGTATCTGTGAGAAGTGCCTCTCTACCTGCTGGTTACGTGTGCTTTTTCTTCATTGTGTTTTCATTAAAGAATCGGAAAAAATAAAAGCGTCCCTCTAACAAGATTTTGCCTGGCTGTGACCACTTCCTACAGACTCTGTTGGGGTAAGAGAGAAAATGGGGTCAGAAATAAGCTCCCAGGGCCAGGGATGTAGCTCAGTGTCATCACGCCTGCCTTGCAAGTGCAAGGTCCTGAGTTCAATCCCCGGTACCAAAACAAAGAAGAAGAAAGAAAGCACACAAGCTCCCACTCTGGAACAGTGACCCCCCCCCTCACCCCAACACCAGTGGGACCAGGGACCCCAGAGAACAGGGGCTATGAAGAGCAAAGATCAGGAAAGGCAGGCCGGGGACCAGGGAGCCAACAAAATGTACAGAGCAACAATCCTCTGGCCACTCCCCAGCTTGTGTCCTGACATGTCAGTCCCCTGCCACCTTGAGAATCTAATTCTAACTTAAACACACTAGAGAACACCCCCATGTCTCCCGCTAAGCTGATGGCTGCCAGCTGTTGTGTGAGGAAAGGGCCTTTAGGAGGGACAGTGGAGCTGAGGGTGGGGTTGACAAAGGCCTCTTTCAGGAGTCTTCCTTCTCAGTGGCTGTTCCCCAATGTTTTATCTAACATATCTGTCAGGCAGCATCTTTGAAAATCTTTCCTGACTGGGAGGTCTTGCGCCCCAAGTAATAAGACAAAATTTTACTTTCCAGCCTCCCTTGCAACTGGAACGTAGGCACTGCAGCCAAGCAGTTTCCTCCAATCAGAAACTTCAGTCCTAAACTTGACAGAGCAACCATGTGACATGTATTCTCCAATCAGAAACCTCTATCCTAAATCGCAGTCTGGTGGGATGACTATGAATCTGAAATCTCCTTCTCTCCCTCCCTCCCTCCTTTCTTCCCTCTCTCCCTTCCTTCCCATCACTTCTAAAGCCAGTATCCGCATCTCTGTGCCTGAGGCTCTTAGACCAGAAGTGTAAAGAAAATAACCACCTCACCTGTTCTCCTATATGGCACTCTGTAACGACCCTCAAGAATTAGTGTACAGGTGCCCTGGCTCCCTCCCACCTTCCTGAGGATAATTTCAAGGTGTGTGCTCTTGAGTGCCCCCAGCCTCCCTGTGTTTTAATATCTTCCTCCCCTTCCTTGCATGGTATCTCTGGTATCTCTGGTATCTGTTGCAGTAATGGAAATCTGGCTAACACAGGTTCTTCCAGGAGCACCTGGGATTCTATCCCAGGCTCATTTTGCAGGCACTTAAAGTCCCTCAGGGACCTCTGTTTGCCCAGCAATAGGCGTGTGAAGAAGATCCCTCTGCAGCAACAGGGCCAGATCTTGGTGGGGCCCACAACCCAAGGCAATCCAGTTGCAGCAGTAAAGACAGTGAGGCAGAGAGGGGATAAAAATCAGATTTTCCTCTCCTCTCACAATTTTCCTCAGGACCTAATGAGGCCCCCTGGCTTCCAGCCTGTCCCCATGACCATTCTAGGCTCCAGGGTTTCTTATGTTTCTAAACTCTCTGAGGTGATCCCTTCTCTATAAATTAGAGATAAATGACTGTCTTGTCTGTCACATAGGACTGGCTGAGGCACACATGAGGAAACTTTTATGACAAGCTCCAGGGGGCTGTGGGATCCATAACAAAGGAAGGTACTGTTATATATTGAAATAATTATACCAGTCCACATTTAGAGAGGCCCTAATCTAAGAGCTTAATGTAATCATTTTATTTAGTCCTCTTCACATCCATGAGCAAGAGTTTTTGATAATCCATCCTATAATCCTTCCTATAAGAGGAAATTTGAGGCACAGTGATGTGGGAAAAACTTGCACAAGGTTACATGACTTAGAAGTGATGGAGCTGGGATTCAAACTCAGTATCACTCAGGAGCCAAACACTAACGCCCTGGGTGCTAATGCCTCACGAGTATGTCTGTGAGGAAAAATTAGGGACTGGGTATGTGGCTCACTAGTAGAGCACTTGCCTAGCATCATGAGGCTCTGGTCCAATTCCCAGGACTGGAAAAAAAAAAAAAGTAAAAAAGACAGTTTCCATAAAACAATGTAAAAATTTCCAGAAATTTCAGATCTAAATTTGTTCTGTGGAGTGATTATGTGACCACCACCCTCCAACTAGAAGCCTCACTCCTGACCACATGACCAGGTTCCTCCAATGAGAGGCCTGGTTTCAGACCATATGACCAGAGTCCTGGATCAGAACGCTTGGCTCCATATTTCTTTTTGGAAGAGTGAATATGTGACCAGGCTCCTCCGATCAGACCACTGTTTGGGAAAGCATGATGTGCATATGGGATGTGAGAAGTCCAGAAGGCCGATCAAAGTGCCACTTCTTTCCAGGCCATTTCAAGCCTGATTCAAGAGTCCTGATAGAGATTACTGATCTTTGGAATATCTTGAATAATTCTTTTTCTAATGACAGAAACCAGACTGGGTTCTGTGGGTCTGTAGCTGAAATTTCTGGCTGATTTAGGTACCTTTGCCCAGCACAGGAGCACGTTCATTTGGCACAGATTTAAGATTGTGGGCAATGGTGAGGTGGGAGCCAGGCAGGAGGTCAGCAAAGGCGATGGGCCTGCCTTGAGACACTGGAGGCCTGGGAATAGGGTCAACGATATAACCATGCCAGTGTGAGCCCTGGATGCCCACAATAGCACAACAGGGCTTGAGGTAAAACCCTCCTCTGCCTAGCATGCCAGTGGGGTGGGTGCCTGGAAGAGCAGGAGAGCTGACCTTTGCTCCCAGTGGATGTCTTCCTAGCAGGATCCATGACTGAATGCTTAACTCCAAGGGCCTAGTGAGGCTCTCGGGCACCCAGGTGGCTGGCCTTGCATTTGTCCCACTGACTGCTTTCTGTTCAGAGTAGCTGGGGAATAAAGAGACAGACTGCCAAGCTTTCAGAATTGCAGGGGCCCCATGTTTGGTGGGTGGCTAGTTTCACTTTCAGGGTGAGTTAGAGACATCCCATTGCGAATCCTCCACCCCACAGAGTCACAGAGCCCTTCTGGCTTCTCTGAACCGGGTCAGGTCAGGCTTGTTTACCAAGTCCTCTTTCCCCGGGGCATTTGCACCCCCCTCCCTCCCCCACACCTCTACCCTGTGCCACTGTCCTGCCACACCACGCGCTCTGTATTGGAAAGGGTCGTGGGCCGTGTGAGGCCAACAAAGGTCAACCCCTCGCCACCACTCGCTTGCCCGTGTCCCTCCACTTCTTCACACAATGCCCAACAGTCAAACCGCCAGCACCCACAGCCCCAGCATCAGGCTAGAAGACGAAGATGTGCCTCTCACACTGTGTTTGACACCTCATCTATGCCCCTACACCGCCCTGGGCCAGAGGCTCCTCCCTAGGTCAGGAGCACTGAATGGGAGAATCGCAACTCATTCTACCCAGGTTTTCCCCTCAGGTCATCACTGTCCTTGAGCTGCAGACCGCAGGAACAGGCAGTGGCTCCCTGAAGCCAGGCAAAACTAACTAGAAGGATGTAGAGTGGTGCACGGACAGGAGGATACTGAACTCGGGGGTGGGGCTGGCCCCAGACCACTTACAAAGGTCGGCTTCAAAGACTCCTTCAACACACCAGCCTCCATCCATTTATTTCCTAGTCACACCCATTACAACTCAGCGTTGTGCTGGCTGGGAGTGAGTCAGATGCCCCTTTCTAGCTGGAGCAGGAGGACTTGGATCGATAGCTCATAGAAGATGTAACAATATAGGAGACGAAATCCCCAGATTCCA